TCTGCCATATCTCGGTATGCCGAGCATTTATAAGCCACGCATTCCACGTACACCGACCAGACGGCCCGCTCCTCGGACACCCGATCCTGAAGAGCTGGTGGCCACACCTGCCGAGGATACCGCTCCTGCGGACGATGGACCTCAACAAACGGCAGGCCCATCTGACGAACCTTTGGTTACCGCTATCGTGGATATATCAAACATACCACTCACCGCCGAAGAAAAAGCGGCACATGACAATATGAAAGCAGATCTATCAGCAGAGATCCAAGCAGATGAGCACGTCGACGCGAGCATCCTCGACAACGTTATTGACCCGCCAGAAGACTTCCTCAATCACACCGACTACGACCCAGAGGATCATACAAAGTGGACCAAACAATCATACGACCACAGCATATACCGTTGGGTGTCGGAGCTTTTGGTGGACTCACCTGTGATAAGGATGAAGCAAATCATTGAGGTACACACTGGCGTGGACAGATCGACTGTGGATAGAGTACAGTCGTACTTACAATTCGACGTTCAATTCGGACCCAAAGCATGGAACGCAGAGAAATACTACTTGAATTATCATCATACCCACACATGGGCACGGGACTTACCAATTTGCAGTGCAGATCGCTTTTTCAAGAAGTTGGTACACTACCTGGACCCAGAGACCATCGAGGAGTCGACTACAGGCGTCTTTCAATGGATCTCCAAAGTGTATCAAAACATATTGATGGACAGTATTGCGGAGCTCCGTGGCTTCACAAAAGGTGCGATCCATCAGAAACATCCCGCACTCCAAGCGTTGCGTGATCTATCTACACACTGCATCAACACATTCGGCAATCCAGGCTTCCCAGTATGGACGGAGCTGGTGGAAACACCTGCCGCGCCACGTGACCCAGGCGCGGAGCAGGACATTCCCCAGGACCCAGGCAGCGTTGCATCCGCAGCTCCTGATCAAGAAACCATGGCACGGATCATAGCCGAGCAGACGGGAGTCAACCGCGAGGAGGGCGACAACGAGCCCGCCTTGCAGGAGGAGGCTCGCCGTCGCCGTACTGAAAACGTATGCCATGGTGATACTGAGGATGCGGACAACGACACAACAGAGCACACAGGACTGCCAGGGGAAAGATTGTCTAGGATCGAGATCGAGGGATTGAGTAGATCAATCGCTTCCCGACCGAATGCTGAGATCAACCGCGGTGCCATGGATCAGATCGGCCGCAGTCTTGCTCGTGGTCGGGATGCTCGCTGGGGATCCCGTGAGCACCTCGCGACTGAGGGGGCCCCAGAAACGATCCAGCACGATATCGCGCGATGTCGGAATTGCGATCGTACCCTATCCCTTGGGATCGTTACAGGTGATGGTACCCTTTGTGGCATCTGCTGGCAGTGCACCGTATCTGTAGGTGCTACGGGTAAAAGTATCGCCGCCCAGAGCGACCTAGCATACCTCCACAAGCTGACCAACTGGATCAGGACGACGCTCTCCCAGGATGACATCGCGAGGTACATGAGAGACGGAGCGCAAGTCATCATGACGGGCAAGCGCGCATTTCCAGGTAATGAGAAAGACTCGCTGAGGAGAATGGCGAATTCCTCTAGGAAGAGGCATCGCAAGTGGGTCGGCTCTGGCCGCCCTCCTGCGCACGAGTGCAGACTGATGGGCGAGGCTGAAGACGACAGACCTCGATACTATCCATATGCCAATCTCGTTCAGCGTTTTCTCAATGATTTGAAGTTCCACCGCCAAATGACAGGCGCTCGCGTGAACGCGGGCAAGAAGGCCTGGAACGTGGACGACATGCGCGATGCATGTGTGATCCTCGATACCAGCATCAGGACAGGCCAAGCTGGTCGGAAGAAATGGTAGTTGAACGAGGGCAGACTCGACAGACAAACGCGGCAAGCTCGCGGACTTGTCACGGTTGCCCTCCCCAGAGGGGATGACACCCGTGAAAAAGCCACGCAGCGCAAGCTTGCTGCGATTGCTAACGAGTTGCTGGGCTCTCTCGATCCGACACACACCGACCAGAGGGGGGTTGATTCAGGGATGAGAACCGATCCGATCGAACCTGATACACACTCCCAGCACTCTGATGATGCCATGGAGCCGCGCCATCCGCCGCCGCCGCCGCGCCCTGCCCCTGGCGATGCTGCACAGTCCAGCGCCTCTGGCGCGGCGGACCACATGCCCGCGGGGCCGCGCGGCACTGCAGCGCAGCAGCAGGACAGCGATGACAGCTACAGACCTCGCGCCTAGAGGGCACGTACGACAGACTACGCCGCCTGGTGGCGCGACGACCTAGAGGACAGCCAGTGGGGCCTCAGGTATTGGAGCTACTACACCAACTGCTGGATTTACATCGCGCCCAATAACGACGAGTTCGTATACATCCGCGACATCCAGTGCAACAAGTGGTTTCTCCACTGGATCCCGAGGACATCTTGGGAGACGTTCGCGACGAGCTACGTGACGCACGATGGCCGCAGGATGTGGGACCGCAGGTTCTACGAGAACGGCAGCGCGTAGTGAGTCGGCCGCAAGGCCCACCGCTCGAATGGCTCGAACTTCATTATAATCCAAGTTCGCCTTGAGCGGTGGCTATTGTATACTTTTAGGCCACTTCACTATACAACGCAAGTGGCCACACATACAAACATCTTTTGCGATAACCAAGGCAGCCCCCTAAGGGGCAACGCCGACGGGAGTCGCCATATAGAATTTACATACATGCAACTTTCGTGTTTATCAACGCGACCTTTCGTCTGGCCAGACATTTGCTTTTATATATAGATGCGTTTCATAACACGATTGTGTTCGTCAACACGATCTCAGCATGCATATTCTTTAGAGTATAACTCCATTGCGTTGAGAATGATCTGACAGCTGGTGGCAACACCTGCCTCGCATAGGCGAGGCATATTAGATTACAAGTTGCTTTATCTTGCTCAGATCCTCTTTCTCCGCCCACCGGTGTCTCATTCTTCTCCGCCCTCGAGTGCCGAAGCGTTTTGGGGGGGCGCACCGAGGGGGCACCAAAGCGTGCTTAGCGAAGAAATCGGGGCCCTGGGTGTTCCTTCTTACCTTACTTTGCAGCTGAGGCTATACTGACTTTGAGCTCGGCTGCCTGAAGACCTGAGGATTGACGGAGTAAAAGGGTGACGGATTCTTTTCCTCCGTTCCCGAGTCCTACCCTCACGGGCGGGATTCGGGACGGGGGGTGTGAATAGAACCCGTGTAATACCCTCATATATACTCCTTATCCTCACCTCTCCTGCGCCCGGCCGTTTGGGCCCAGGTATTGGGATAGATCGATCAGACCTTTGATCGCGCAGGAGGGAAAGACATCCATCTATCCCTCCTTCCCTCTACCAACGGATCAGGGGTTCTGTGCCCTTGTACTTCGACCCCATACACACATCGCGTGCGCTCCAATCTTCTCCCTCCACCCCAAAAAAAAACAGGCCCTGTGGTGCACACAGGCGTTGTGTTTCATATTCGCCGTGGACTCAAAACGTCCGAGCGTTCCTCGGGCCAGAAAACCAGTAGCCACAATCCGATCACATTTCGAATCTGATACACTCGGCCCCCCCACGATTTCCGGGACTTCGGCTCCGTCAAGGCCGAAGAGGTGTACTTAAGCTTCGTGGTAGATGCAGGCACTGTGGTGCACACGGGGGGGGGGGTGCTGAAACAGCAATTGTGGTGTCAATAACCACAGGCGTTGCGATGCAGACGGCTGCGTGCATTCCCTCGGCTGACGCCGCTCCGCGCGCCTCCAAGCCGCGTGGTGTTCACGGGCGCCGTAGTGCGCGCAGTTGCCATGACGTGCACGGTCGCTGTGGCGTACACAGGCGTTGTGGGCCCAAGATGTCCGAGGGTTCTTTGGGCCAGAAAAACAAGTAACAACAATCCATCCGCACATTGAATTTGATACGTTCGGACCCCCAACGATTTTCCCGAGTTTGGCTTCGTCGGTACTTTCAGGTGTACACAAGTTTTGTGGTGTACGCAGGCACTGTGGTGCACAAGGGGGTGCTGAAACAGCAGCTGTGGTGCACACAGGCGCCAGGGTGTGCACAGACAGTGTGATGTACAAAGGCGCTGTGGTGCACACGGTTTGTGATGATGTATACAGTCGCCGTGGTGCACACGCAAATCATTTCTGCAGCAGTTCTGGTGCACAAGGGCATTGTGGTGTACAGAGCCAGTTTTGTGTGCGCAGGCAGTGTGGGCTTGGACGACGACGACGACGACGACGACGACGACGACGACGACCGACACCGTCGACGACCGACGACGACGACGACCGACGACGACCGACGACGCCGTCGACGACGACGACGACGACGACGTAGGCAGCGCGCCTCCGGGGGTGCGCGCCGCGGCCCCCGTTAGTGTTTCCCCCCGCCTCCCCCCCCCTTAGGGCAGCATGTGTTATCTTCCATGATAATATAAAGCGTCCCTCGTGGACCCAGCCCGCGCTCCAAACAAATGAATTATGCGCGGAAGCGCGCAATTAGGAATTAGGATATTCTCCCCAACAGCGACAAGTCTAACCCAATACTGAAAACCATGTAACGGATGCAAATGAAAGCAAGGCACGTGCAAGCAATGCAATGGACCGCAGTGCAAGTCGATGCCATGGACAGCACATTGACAGCAACTCGACTGTGGATGGTTCCCAAGACATCGTAGGTCGCCAAGCTATCTGAAACAATATGAAATACTCTGAACGAGAGGGAAAGATAGCAAACACCTTTTCAGTACATGACATGCTGCACTCCTGGAAGGGGGTCGACGGACCCCCTTCCCCTTGAACCCAAACGGTTAGGGAAAAGGGGTCTCGGGTTCTTAGTTAAGCACACATAGCACTTGAAAGCGCTCCCTGCGCTTTCAGATTTACACTGGTCGTAGTCCACTGCTTAGAACCCGATGAAGTCCTCGCATCTCCATGCACATGCACTGCCCTGTCGGTGGTCTGGGCCTGGTATACCTCCTAGGCCTCTCGGATCCACCGATAGGCCTCGGGCTCGTAGTTGAGGTCGTCATCCTCGTAGTCTTGCTTGAGGCTACCCGTGCAGTCCATCTCGTACAGGTCCACTCCTGAAAAACAACACTCCAACGAGCAGGCATAAGTAGGGTCGCCCTTCTTCTTCCTCATCTGTCGCTCTTGTTCCCGTCGACGTAGCACGATGCTGTCCGCCGTGATGCCGTACTCGCCCAACTCCAAGGCATGTCGAAGTAGCGTACTCTCGCCCTTGCGCTTGGTGAGCGGGTCGGTCAGCTGACTTGTACCTTCGATCCATCGTATATGAACTTGAGGTCGCTGCATCGCTGAGCGCACGATGGCCACGTCGATTGCTGCCCTCTTGTCCTCCGCCAGTCCCGCCTTCGGATTGGTAACGTGATCGTAACCGCCTCTGGAGTCGGTCACACTAATGACGGGAAAACGACCAGCGAGTAGGTAGGGACGCATCAGATCGAACTCGGAGTCGACGATCTCCAGCAGCATGGTCCTGATGAACTCCGCCATAGCCATGCCCTCCGATATGGCCAGCGTCTCCGCACCAAACTGGTGAGCACATTTCCTCTTCAATGTGTGACTCTTCCAGGATTGGATGGAGATGGTGGCCGCTTCGCCCTTCAAGATCTTACGCTGCGTAGCGAACACGATGTATCCTGCTTGTGAGGCTCCATCCCGTGCATTGGCCCAGGCCGCGTCATCGAAGGCAGCGAAGGCCAGCTCGTGAAAAGGGATGCGTCGTACCCTGAGTGCTACGTCGCAAAACTCCTTGGTCATGCGGCCGATACGATTTGCTTCCAGCAAGTCGTCCACGGTGAGATTCGGCATTGTTCCCTGCAAGAGAGAGACAGGACCCGAGAGGTCGGGACGACTCTCCCGCGCCAGGAATGAGATGGAGCCGCACAGGCTCCGTGCCTGATGCAGCTCTGTTGGCGTCACTGGTGACTGAGGCGTCTTACGCCTCTCTGTGGCGATGTCGTTAAGTTGAATATTGACGGAGCTCTGGCGTTGAGAGATGGTGATCTCCGTGTTGTCGTCGTTCTGGTCGAGCTCCTTGCCTGTGTACTTCCCCTTCTTGAGACGCCAGGCCCCAAATGGGGAGCTTCTGACGCAACTTCTTGCAGGCCTCATCGAACTTCTGGTCGCCACCGCCCACGATGTCGTCCACCGTAAGGCCCATGACGCCGTGCAAGCCCTCTACGTCCCTGAGGTAGAAGACGCAGCCGTCAAAGATGGAGCACTGAAAACCGATTTTTGTTGGCATAACTTGTGAAAGATGCCAGCCATTGTACGGGAGCGTCTTCGAGTCCATATACTGCCTTGCGTAACTCCACCAACGAGCCCGTTTCCACGTCTGGTATACCCGTCCGTGGTAGTTCCACAAAAAGCTTGCCCTGAGACCTGTCCAGTGGGTCTCCTGCTGTGAAGGCCGACGTGATGTCCGCAAGCTGCAGCGTCCACTTATTGGTGCACAAGATCTGCAGGATGAGGAAAACCGAATCCTTACCCACGACTGGGCTGTAGGTCTCCAGCTCCAGCAGGTCAGGGTCGGTGTGTCCCTGGACGGTGCATCGCGCCTTGGCCATCCTCCTGTCGTTGCCACTCATGAAGAGCAAGGGCTTCTTGCTCGCGTCGGTCTCGTTGGGGTCGCCGTCCTTGTCCGTAAGGACCCACCTGGAGCCCATGATCCGAGTGGTCAATGCAGGATCCTGTCGAACTCGTTCTGCCTCTTCGGGAGGGAGAACCCGTACTGCACCCGCCTTCTGTATGTTGCCCCACTCCCTGCGCTTGGCTGAGATGTACGGCTGGTACTTGTAGGTGTTCACAAGAGACTTCTCCGTGACCTCCTTGCGTCCTCGTTGAGCTGCACTAGTCAACAGAGCGCTGGTGGCGTCCTGAGCTTTTTCCCCTCCTCTTTTTCTTGGGAGGAGCCTGCTGTTCCTTCTGAATCTTCTCCTCGATGGTCGCGATACGTTGTGCCACCGGTATCGCCGCGTCAGGGTTAACTAGAGCCTGCTTGATGGTGATCGGTACATCGTCGAGGTGATCGTAGTACTGCGTTTCCATGGGGATGGGATCTGACTTCACATCGGAGGAGTGCTCGATCTCCACCGTCGGTGGCTCCAGGGAGGCCGCTGGTTGATCATCCCCTGCTGGCTCTGGAGGTGCTGTCTGAGGTACGTCGCCCTGGTCCTCCTCAGCTGGTGAGGGCTGCTTGGTCAGGTCCTCGTACTTGCGCCTTCCGCGGTTCTCGGTGCTCACCTCCTCCTTCATCGTGTGGTCGATCTGCTCCCAGGCGGATGTCTCCCCCTCGTTGGCGTGTCGAAGCTGTTCTGGTGAGCATTTCAGTAGTCCACCCTGGTACGAGCACCACACCGTGCTTGGCAGCTCAGTCTGGATGACTCTGGCTGGGCCATGCCAGGAGCTAACGGGGAGTTTGTCCGTACTACTCCAGAAATAGCAGCGATCTCCAGGCTGAAAAGTAGTGCCCCTCGGCGGTCGAGTCCTTCTATTGAGAGCTCGTCGCCTCTTCTCGGAGCACTCCGCCTCGATGTACGCTGCCATGGCTGCCTTGCGCATGTCAATGCTCCTGGCAAGCTCGGTGTCTCCGTTCATGGCTCGAGATACCGTCGCCAAACTCGGCGAGCCCTCCTCCAAGATTTTTTCTGGTAGTTGAAAGGGTCTTCCAAAAACTCCCTGATAAGGCGTGAAACCCCCACGTCGCACACTTTCTCCAATCGCCACGTTGACTGAGTCGACCAGCTCGTAGAAGTCGTCTCAGTTCTTGGTGTTGAACTTCTGCCTTGTGCGGTAGAAGGTCTCCTTCCAGGTCCCCCCAGCCCTCTCAGTCTTGCCTGCCTGCCATGGCGAGGTAGCGCTCGTCACCTTCACCTCGGTGCCGTCTCCTTCAGCTGCGTCTGGAAACTCGCCTGTTGAAAAACCTTTCTCGCCGTCTGTCACGATGATCCTGGGAATGCCGTACATCCGCTTCCAGAAAGCACGATAATGTCGTCTGATTTGCTGACCTTGTCTGCTCGGTAGCGGTACCACGACTTGGTGCCCCGTCCCGTGACACACGATGTTGAGCATCGGCACCTTGGTGGTGTTCTCGGGACCTAGAACGAAGAAGATGTCCATGCCGATGACGTCGTTGAACTGGTAGGTCGTGGGAGCGTTGGACGGTTTGGCCAGCCTGGGGCGCTTGTTTGTCTCACAGCTTGGACAGACCAGATGCTGCGCGGAAAGACCTGGCGAGCTTTTCCGTACTTCAAAACCATCACCAGATTCTCGTTATTGAAGTGACCCATGTTCTCGTGTATCTTCTGTACCTGCTGCTTGACATAAGGATCCGTGCTCCTTTCGTCTTTGTTGTTGGAGACGGGCGCTGTACAACAAGACACACACTGCAAGCCTGAATTTTCTTCGTCCATCATCGTCTCGACGGTCGCCAGCTCGCTCATCTTGGCCTTCACGATAGCTCGTACCAGAGCTCCAGTAAGCTCCTGCAGGGGTATCGGCACGCCCCCCAGCTTGTTCTGCAGAGAGCCCTGCACGAACTCCTGACTCAGCATCTTCCCGTACTCTGATGCCTGGCCAGGTAGGTTGGTCAAACAGGCCCGTCCTCGTGCATTAGCTTTCCCCGAAAAGACCTCGGGAAGTCGCCTCAGCTTCTGGATGAGTGGGTCGTCCCATTCTCGGAAAGAGCGTGTTCTACCGCTGCTGGCGGAAAACCGGGGGGGGTCACTACCGGTTCGAACCCCTCCCCCCCCCCCCCCCCCCCTCCGGAAAACCGGGGGGGGTCACTGCCGGTTCGAACCCCTCCCCCCCCCCCCCCCCTGCTCATCATGAAAAGGGGGGGGGGTCACTACCGGTTCGAACCCCCCCCCCCCCCCCCCTCCGGATCCGGAAAACCGGGGGGGGTCACTACCGGTTCGAACCCCCTCCCCCCTCGAAAACCGAGTGGGGGTGCGGACAGTGGTGGGGACGGTGTTGGTGGGGACAGTGGTGAGGGGATAGCGGGACAGTGGTGGGGACAGTGGGACAGTGGGACAGTGGTGGGGACGGTAGTGGTGGGGACAGTGGTGGGGACAATGGTGGGAACAGGGGGGGACAGTGGACAGTGGTGGTGACGGTGGTGGTGGGGACAGTGGTGTGGGGACAATGGGAATGAGGTGGAAACAGTGGGACAGTGGAGGGTACAATGGTGGTGGGGACAGTGGTGAAGGCGGTGGCGAGGACGGCGGTGGGACAATGGGACAGAGGTACAGTGGGGACAGTGGTGGGGACAGTGGGGACAGTGGTGGGAACAGTGGGACAGCTCAGTGGGACAGCGGAGGAGTCAGTGGGACAGTGGGGACAGTGGGGATAGTCGGGCAGTGGTTGGGGCCGTGGAGACAGTGGGGAGAGTGGAACCGTGGTGGGAACAGTTCTGGGGACAGCGGGGACAGTGCGACAGTGGTGGGGCCACTGGTGGGGACAGTAGGGGCGGTGGTGGAACCAGTGGGGACAGCGGTGGTGAGGACAGTGGTGCTGGGAACACCAGTGGGGGATGTGATGCGGACGGTGGTGGGGACCGGGAGTCGTTTGCTGGCGGTGAGTGGGGGGGGGGGGGGGGGGTTCGAACCGGTAGTGACCCCCCCGGTTTTCTGGATCCGGAAGGGGAGGGGGGGGGGAGGGGTTCGAACCGGTAGTGACCCCCCCGGTTTTCGAGCGGGGGGGGGGGGGGGGGGGTTAGGGGAGGGGGGGGGTTTTGCCGGGGGAGAGGGGGGGGGGGAGGGGTTCCAGCAGGGGGGGGGGGATTTTCGGAGGGGGGGGGGGGGGGGCGACCCCCGGGTTCCGGAGGAAAAGGTTGGCAATTTTCCACAGTAAAGCGGCGGTGGATCACGCTCTCTCTATAACGAGAGCTCTCCTTCTGCTCGTAGTAGTAGAAATACCTGCCGTTAATCGCCTGCTGGATCGCCATGTCCGACATGAAGGTCGTCACGTCCCTGCCGATCTTCTCCTTGAGCTTGTTGTTGTAGATGTCCTTGGGCGGCTTGATGATCACGAGTAGGGGACTCGCACTCTTGATCATGTCCCACGCCTCTTTCTGCCCGCTCCTCACTAGTAAGTGATGTCCTGCCACGACCATCACGTGCTTCCGCTCTGTAGTTTCGTGTAAGGGTCATCGTGAACCTGCTCGTCTAGCTGGCCGAGGAAAGCTGTGCACTCTGGAATCGCGTCCTCCAGGGCCTCCCTCATTTTGTCCGTTTTGCCTAACTCCTTGAGCGCCTTGCTGATCTTCCGCTCCTCCTTCTCGGTCAGCTCGTCTACTGGTCGCTGATGTCCGCCCCGAGGTGGCCGCGCAGGTTCTCCACCAGCTGGCTGGTCATTGCGTTGGCGTTCTCGTCCTGCAGCAGCTCCTTCAAGGCGATCAGAGCCTTGCTCCGAGGTGACTGGTCCTGCACTTCCTCGTCCAGCGTCTCCCACTCCTCCTGCTCGGCCGTCTCCGTCAGACCCTCGATCTGCTCCTCCGGCTCTGCAGGTGGACCTCCCGACTGCCTCGAGGTCGATCTGGCTCCCGATCGCGGTCCCATCTTGGCCCTCGGCGCGCTGCTGCGTGTCGAAGGCTCTTGTGGAGTTTCCGACGAGGTCCATGCTTTCGGTGCTCGAGGTTGCCAACCCTTGATCTCCGCCTCCAGCATCTTGTACTCCTCGAGCTGCTCGCAGATCTCCTTCATGTTGGGAGCTCCCTTGGGGTAGAACTCCACGTGTAGCCTGCATCCGCTGCACTGGCTCCAGAACGCTCTCGCATTCCCGCCGTGGTGAGTGAACTCGTGAAGGCAGGAATGCTCCTTCTTGGGGTCGTGATCTCTGGCCCTCGTGCCCACAGCTGGGGTCCGAGGTCCTTGGTTCTCCACACCGTAGTAGCGACACATCATCACTCCTGTGGGCGGTCGGCTCTCCGAGCTGACCTCGTGCCAGGGCCACTTGAACTTCGGCGCCGTCGTCTTGGCCTGGCTCTTGTTGGCGTCCGACTGCCGCTCCCTCAGCGGCGACACCTTCTGCTGCATGAAAGAGGACGAGTGCTGCGAGCGCTCGTCGCATGACATGGACATATGGAAGTACATCCGAAGACGTTCTGCGAGTTCGGCTCGAGCCTAACTGCTGACGGAACTGGACGATGTTGTCATTTATGTTGTTCAGGTGTTTGGTGTTGATGCAGGTCTCGTCATTTATGCTGTTCTCGGACCTGCTGTTGATGCTGCTCACGTCGTTTATGTTGTTCACGTGCTTGCTGTTGGTGCTGTTCCAGTGCTTGTTAGTGTCGATGCTCTGCTTGTTAACTTGAACCTTCTGTTTATGCCTTCCTCCTGATAATCCTCCTTCTTGCAGTAGTCTTGCTATTTGTGCTGTTTTTTGTCTGGCGTTCTTTGCTGTCCTCCTGCGTTCTGCCTGTTGTTTTGTTTCAACTCCAACACTTGAAAACATACAGCCTCTTTCCTTCTGATCCTCACTGTCGTTTAAGAGGTCCTCGGAGATGAGGAAGGTGGAGGGATGCTTATACTCGGTCCTAGAACTGAAATCCATAGAAACCTCCTTTGTGCACAGTGTCCAGCCTTCAGGCTTACTCCACGGTCTCGTGAAGTTATCCAGCTGCAGCAAAACGTGTTCCCCTCCAGCGTGTGCCAAGGGGAGTCGCAGGCTCTGCTCAGGCAGATCCAGCTCCGACTGAAATGCATGGAGGGACGCCTTCAGCTCCACGACAAATGTCTTAGACAACAAAAGTGGAGCCGCTCCCTGCACCAAGCACACAAAAACGATGCCTACAAAGTCGCCCAGCATGATCGGGATGATCACCCCGTCCGTCGCCGTGCAGATCTGGTCATTGCCGAACCTGTACTTCTTATGGTACGGGATCGTCTGCCGCGTGATGCCGTGCTCCTTCTTGTAGTGTGCCTCCCACTTCGCGTAGGTGTCCAGCCCCATCATGTTGAAACCACAGGCCGTGTCGAGTGCCCCCCAGCCTGGCTTGCCCGACGTTTTGATGTCGATCGCCAGGTTGATGTGCTCTACTAGGTTCGACCGTGACGCCATCTTCGCCTCTGTCGCTATGTAGCTGCAGATCTCGTCGTCCTGCAGCACCGTCATCGCAATGAAACCTCCCGTCGGCTTGTTCTTATTATTCGGATTGTCGAGGCACTCTCGATGCCAGTGTCCAACCTTCTTACATATGCCGCACTTCGTGCGCTTCTTGACGTCCTCTATCTTGTCGTTGAGCTTCTTGCCGTCCTGCAGGTTGCGAAACCCCCGATTGGTCTTCTTGTCCGCCACGATCCTCCGAGCTTCGCCCCACGTCCGCGGCTTCGTCGGTGGTGGTACGATGGCCGCGAGGCAGTCGAGCGCCTCGACCTCCGTGAGGATCCGTTCTCCATCGTCAGTTGGTTCTTGTCCGTCGGGTGTTCCATCGTCGTCGATCCCGAGCAGGTTGGCCATCGCGTCGTACACAGCACTCTCGGCTTCACCATCCTCGGACATCAGGGGCTCATCCTCGTCAATTCCCGACACGTCTGCCCCTTTTGTCGGTGTACTCTTCTCGGTGACCGTGCTGTCGTCCGTCATCCGCTTCAGAATCGACCAGCTTGTTGACGTTGTAGTCGTAGCCCGTCTGGATGAGAACCTGGTTCCGTTCCGCTTGGCCAGACCCGCCCCTCTCAATAACAAGAAACCCATGACCGTGTCGTTCAGTGCGTTGGGGAGTAGCCGTTCTAACTCTTTCTGTTCTGCTCGTACTCGATTGGTGAACTTCATCAGCGTCTCTTCTCTCGCCCTAGGAGCCGCGAAGAGAGTCCTTTCCAGCTGCTGGAAGGTCTCCGCGTCTGCCTCTGGGAACGCCAGCGTGTCCAGTGCCAAAATGATTGCTTGTAGACCGCCTGCGTACTGTACCGAACTTGGTCGTAGGTGCCGTGTCGCAGTCGCCGCCTCCTTGGTCAAGTGCAGTAGCAGGGTCTCGCCCTGCTCCTCAGGCGACACTGCCGTCAATCTGCTCCATCTGTCTATGGCCAGCCTCTCCTCTGGCCGCTCGCTGAGGTCCTTTCCATCCCAGGTCGGGCAAGGTGGGTCTTTTCCTTTTCGGCCTCCACGTCGCTGGTCGTGTTGCTCGTACTCCCCGCCCGACTCGAGTCTTCCGTGCACCTCTGACATCATCTTCTTCACCTGCTCTGGTGTGCCGAACCCTCTCGACTGCACTGACTTCTCTGAGTCCGTCTCGGAGCCGCCTGAGCACCCCTTGCCTTTCAACTCGTACTTGCCTGCCGAACCCCCCGAGTCGTCGTCCTCGCTTGGCCACCTCCAAGCACCCCAGTTGGACATCTGACTCCACGTTCGATCCCAGGATACTGAGCTGTCGTTCCACGTCTTCCAGGGGTCCCAGGTGTCGCCCTTCATGCTGTCGTGCTGTCCGCGTCGCTGCCCTCTCGTTCTTGACTGTGCCCATCTCAGCTTCTCCCCATCGCCCTCATCATTCTCCTGAGGTCCGTCTTCGACACGTTCCCACGTAATATCATCACGATTGCCGTCGTAGCCGTCGCTCCTCTTACCACATGTGGATGGTTCCCAAGACATCGTAGGTCGCCAAGATATCTGAAACAATCTGAAATACTCTGAACGAGAGGGAAAGATAGCAAACACCTTTTCAGTACATGACAAGCTGCACTCCTGGAAAGGGGTCGACGGACCCCCTTCCCCTTGAACCCAAACGGTTAGGGAAAAGGGGTCTCGGGTTCTTAGTTAAGCACACATAGCACTTGAACGCGCTCCCTGCGCTTTCAGATTCACATCGGCAGCATTACAACGTAGCGAACTAAACTTAGACATCCTGGCTGTTTCGAACATTTGCTGGTGCATAGCATCGCAGCCCAATGCACTCAATGGTATGCACTGGAATAAGCACAACGCACACGCAATGTAGCAACATGCGAAAGAGCGTGTTCTACCGCTGCTGGCGGAAAACCGGGGGGGGTCACTACCGGTTCGAACCCCTCCCCCCCCCCCCCCCCCCCTCCGGAAAAACCGGGGGGGGTCACTACCGGTTCGAACCCCTCCCCCCCCCCCCCCCCCCCTGCTCATCATGAAAAGGGGGGGGGTCACTACCGGTTCGAACCCCTCCCCCCCCCCCTCTCGAAAACCCAGTGGGGGTGCGGACAGAGGTGGGGACGGTGTTGGTGGGACAGTGGTGAGGGGATAGCGGGACAGTGGTGGGGACAGTGGGACAGTGGGACAGTGGTGGGGACGGTAGTGGTGGGGACAGTGGTGGGGACAATGGTGGGAACAGGGGGGGACAGTGGACAGTGGTGGTGACGGTGGTGGTGGGGACAGTGGTGTGGGGACAATGGGAATGAGGTGGAAACAGTGGGACAGTGGAGGGTACAATGGTGGTGGGGACAGTGGTGAAGGCGGTGGCGAGGACGGCGGTGGGACAATGGGACAGAGGTACAGTGGGGACAGTGGTGGGGACAGTGGGGACAGTGGTGGGAACAGTGGGACAGCTCAGTGGGACAGCGGAGGAGTCAGTGGGACAGTGGGGACAGTGGGGATAGTCGGGCAGTGGTTGGGGCCGTGGAGACAGTGGGGAGAGTGGAACCGTGGTGGGAACAGTTCTGGGGACAGCGGGGACAGTGCGACAGTGGTGGGGCCACTGGTGGGGACAGTAGGGGCGGTGGTGGAACCAGTGGGGACAGCGGTGGTGAGGACAGTGGTGCTGGGAACACCAGTGGGGGATGTGATGCGGACGGTGGTGGGGACCGGCGTTTGTGGCGGTGAGTAGGGGGGGGGGGGGGTTCGAACCGGTAGTGACCCCCCCCGGTTTTCCGGATCCGAAGGGGGGGGGGGGGGGGGAGGGGTTTCGAACCGGTAGTGACCCCCCCCGGTTTTCGAGCGGGACGGGGGGGGGGGGGGGGAGGGGTTAGGGGAGGGGGGGGTTTGCCGGGGGAGGGGGGGGGGGGGGGAGGGGTTCCAGCAGGGGGGGGGGGGGGATTTTCGGAGGGGGGGGGGGTGGGGGCGACCCCGGGCTCCGGAGGAAAAGGTTGGCAATTTTCCACAGTAAAGCGGCGGTGGATCACGCTCTCTCCAACATGCAAATGCAAGTGTATGTAGCACAATGCCATGCATAAATAAGTGCACACACAACAGACAAACAATGCGTAACCACCTCGTTATATTCGATTCAAAGATGTCTATATCCAGTGGGTTCATATATATATATATACATATATATTATTGCCCTTGTGCGCAACCGTCGTTGTATCGCAAGCAATGGGCTTCAAGTGATCGATACCTGTGCGGTTTCGATCTTCCTTGTCTTGCTTCAAAGCGCGAGTGAAAGCAGTGAACCCAAACCACATCGACGACACGGGGGCGGAGAAGAGGACGAAATCGACGAGGCGTTTCACTCTGTGCTTTCGAACGCCTCGCGGAGTTCATTGACGAGAAAGGCGACTCTCATCGGGGTTGTGGGCTCCCCCTCTCGCTTTCTCTGTTGTTCTCCAAGCGAATGCTTGACAACATGCTCTGGCCGTGTTCCACCGCTGCTAGCATGCGCGGCCTATCATTGCCTGACAATCGGTCCCGCTACAGATTCTGGATTCTCCGAGCATGGTTCGGTGGCAGCGATTGCAGCTGGATCACAGATTTGTTGCTCTCCCGCTTGGCCTAGCCGAGGTTGGTCTACAGTCTCTTTCGTGATATCTTCCTCCTCCCTTGCTACCTCCCTCACCCCCTCCCCTCCTTGCCCCCCCCCCCCCTTCTCGAAAGCGCCCCCGCGTAGCTGGGTTGTTCTTTCTGTGGGGCTGGCTCGAGCCATCCAGCTCAGGCCATCCTTCGGTCTGAGCAGACTGCGCCTGGTCCAGGACAGACCTGCACCGATGCGGATCTCGCTGCCGCGTGTCTCTGCGGGAGCTGTGGGCAGCGCGTGAGCAGACGCCCCGCGAGGTCGCAGGCGCCATGCGGCAGACTCCGAGAGCGGGCGGCGCCCTCGGAGACCGCCGCCGCGCCGATGTGGGCCGGCCCAGCGAAGGGCCCCCCGCAGAGACGTGCGAGGCGTCCGCGGGCGCCGCCCCGACCCGCGGAGGCATGGCGTGCCTCGCGGACGCGCGCTGCGAGATCGCCGCGCACCTCGACGTGCCCGCGCTTCTCGCGTTCGGCGCGGGCGGGCGCGCGCTCCACCGGACGGCCGCCCGGGTCGCGGACGACCGCGCGCGCAGATCCCTCCCGGGGGTCGAGCCGCTCCCTGGCTGGGGCCGGGGTCTGCCCGGGGCAGCAGATCGGCGGCGAGCACGGGGGCGGGGGAGCGAAGAGGAGGAGGCCTTCTCGGAAGGCGGCGGGGCTTCTCGTGAGGTCGCCAGCCTTTCGAGAAGGTTCTGTGTCTCTGGGGAAGGCTCAGGACATTTCTCGAGAGGCCTGAGGATGTCCAGGCCTTCTGAGAGGGCCCGCCCCTTCTGACTTCCCCCCCGGGCTCGCCGCCGAGCAGAAGCCGCAGGTTCCCGTCTGAGCCCGTTCGGCCGCCGAATAGCCGCGCGGGCTCAGTTCTGGCAGGGTCGAGGGGATTGAGCACGTGACTTTTCGGAGGCCGAACGGGCTCAGACGCCGAACGGGCTCCCTCCTCGCGTCGAGAAGAAATCATGACCGCATGTGATTTTGCACATTCTCTGCTCTCCAGTGCCCTCACCAGGCCGCGGAACCGTCAAGAAGCAATCGGGATGAAAAGCCGGTCCCTGGGAAGGGGTCCAGACCTCTGGGGGTCCACGTTGCGATGAAATTATGACGGCAGGGGTCTAGTGCATTTTATGTAATCCCCCCTCTTGCCCCGTAATTTTCTTGATCGATTGGGGTGTGGGAGGGGGGTGGGGGGGGCGAATCCCCGACGTCCGGCGATTATCTTTTTTTCGACTTCCTGGTCCTTAGAGCCCGTGACCCCTTCCCTGAGGCATTGTTTCATCCAGGGCAGTTTGTGGCAGGGCCTGGAGACGGCCCCTCAGGCAACGAAGATGGCGAAGAGGTTTTTAGCGCGACTGCTTGGAGTCGCCAAGGCAAAGGTCTGGTTCTGCGACCGCTACCGAGCCCTACAGCTGGGGGTCCAATCGGCGCTGGAGTATCGGACACCCCCGTTGGGGTTCACTTGGCTGCAGACATCCTTCAAATTCTAAGCCCCAGCGGGTTTCTTTGAAATCTGACCCGCCCGAGTAGGGTTTACACGTGGCTGCCTCCTGGATTCCCGTGGATTTGGCTGCCCTCAGGTCCCTATTGGAAGAGGCTGGGCGATGCCTTGAGGCCTAGGCGGCTGGTCTTCAACTACTGCGGGGCGCCGCCGGACTGCACCTGCCTGCTGGGGGCGGCCCTGAGTACGCAGGCGTCCTGGTTCTTGGAGTTCGAGATGACGGTGGCCATCCGAGGAACAAAACATTGCATCAACTTACTTTCTCGGAGGTTCGCGCGGATTCTTTGGCTCGGCGCCGTGGCCCCCTGGCGGCGCCTCCGGTGCCGCCCCTGGCGCGCTCCGCGCGCCAGGGAGGGGATTCCATCGCCGCTCCGAGACATCCGCGCGGACCTCCGAGACAGTACCTTTTATGCAGTCTCTTCTTCCTCTAGCCATGGCATTCAACGCCACGCCGTGCGTGGGCCTGGTGGATGCCCGGGCCCAGCTGTCACCGAGTCAGCTCGAGTCTGGGAAGGTGCCTCGAGACATGAGCCGCAGGGGCGGGGGGGAGCTGGCGGTGTCTTTCAGCCCATGGTCTGGCAAGGTGTTCGCGAGCAGCCTCGTGCAGAGCAGGCCCTTGCACCTTGGGCAGCTGCCCCGCTGCTGCACGGCCAGCCTGAACTGGAACAGCCTTGACAACTCGTCCAACGCGCGGGACGCTCCGATAAAGGCCGGCTTCTCAGTCACGAGTGGACATCGAGGGACAAACAACCGCATAAACATTCTTTTTCGGAGCTCCGCGCGGATTTCTTGTTCTGCGTTGGCCCCCCCCCCCCAGGCGGCGCCTTCGGTGCCGCTCCTAGTGCGCTCCGCGCGCCAGGGAGGGGGGTCCAACGCCGATCCAAGAAATCCGCGTGGACCTCTGAGAAGCTATGTTCATACGGTTATCTGCCTTCTAGGACAGCTGTCCTTCTACCGAGGGAGCACGAATGGGCAATGGCGATCTAGCGGTGTGATATTGCGGGACTTGCCAGGTGCGGTCGTTCCAGCAGTGTTCATGTCATCTTTTGTTGGTCACGCGAGCGTCAGTTTTGTCAATCTGCGGCCGTCACCACCTAATGTCGAATGTAAAGAGTGTGACTTGTTGAGTCACGGCTTGAAGAACGGCTGGTGTTCTTGTCTTGAGAGCGGCTGGTGCTCTTGTTCATCGTCTAAGCAGTAGTCGACCATCTTGACCCTCTCTCGAGACCGCTCTCAGACGGGTGCCTTTCTGGTTCTTGGCATCTATTGCGAAGGCCTTACGCCCATAGCCGCCGACTCTGAAGGGGGACGACGACGACGACGACGACGACGACGACGACGACGACGACGACGACGACGACGCTGACGTGGGTCAGAGTCGATAGGGGATTTTGTTCGGGGTCTCTTCGGAGCGCTCTCGGAGGACTCTTGGGGACAGTTTTTGGGGCCCCTTTGGGACATCTTGGAGGCCTCTTGGGAGCATCTTGGGAGCCTCTTGGGGCTTTCTTGGGGCCTCTGGGGGGCCTCTTGGAGCTTCTTGGGGGCCTCTTGGGGGCCTCTTGGGGCCTCCTGGGAGCCTCTCGGGGCGGAAGGCTCGACTTGTCCGCTTGGTTCCCCTGTCTGGGCAGCCTCTTGGAGCGCTTTTGGCGGCCTCCTGGGCCGTCTTGCAGGCGTCTTGGGCTGTTTTCGGGCTCTCTTCGGCCTGTTTCGGAACCTTCTTGGAGGCCTCTTGGGGCGATCGTTGGAGCCTCTTTGGCCGTTTTGGAGCGTCGGGAAGCTGAAAAGACGCGAACGCCCAAATCCTTGGAAAACTTTCGGAAAACAAAGAATTTTGTCTCTTGGGGCTCTCTTGTGAGTGCTCTTCGAGGCCTCTTGGGGCGTCTTCCAGCCTTCTTGGGCCGTCTGGAGGCCGTAAAGACGTCTTGGACAGATTTGGGCCCTGGCCTCCCCAGGGGGGGGGTGGTATTCTGACCCAGGCCCCCCCGGGCACCCCCCACTGGGACCCCCCCCGCCCTGGCGGGGAAGGGATCAAAGGGAAGGGGCTTCATTTCGACTCAATTACGACGCTGCTCACTTTCGTTTCGGCTGGCGCGCTTGAGGAGGAGGGCCCAGGAAAAGGGGAGGGCGGCGACGGGCCCAGGAAAAGAGAGGGAGCGGCGACGGCGACGGCGACGATGACGACGACGACGTCGACGAAGACGAGTCAAACGGAACAGCCTCTTCCAGACGCCGACAGGGTCGGCGGATTTAGTTCTGCAGAAGCGATGGGAACATTCGAGCCTTGGGTAAATTGAGCGTGAGGAGGGGTGACTTGTTTTATTTCAGCTGGGACGTTCGCGACACTTCTGCTGCCCATTTGGCGAACAGATGCCGGTGTGTCACAGGCGCCTGCGGCAAGGTGAGTGAGGGGTGTACAGATCAATCGAACTTACTTTTGCGGGGTGCGCTTTTTGAGTTTTTGTTTTTCCTCCTCCATCCTGCTACGGTCGGACAGTACAACGTAAGGAGCCTCTAGCGCTGGCGGGCTTAGAATTCGACTCGCGCCAGAGGCACGTACCATCACTCTTTTTCCCTCTCTCCCTCTCCCCACATCCCACTCTCTCTCTCTCTCTCTCTTTCTCTCTCTTTCTTGCTCTCTCTCTCTCTCTTTCTCCCTCTCTGCGCACCGCTTGCGCGACGCGGAGGGCGCAGGCCCTCGACGCCGCGCGCTCCTTCGGGGCCGAGCGCGGGCACCTCGCGTGCCCAGCTCAGCCCGCGGCCCTCACGGGCCGTGCTGCAGACCAGCACCCCACGCCAGCGCCACTGCGGGCGAGGGCCCCAGCCGCCGCCTCGGGCCACGGGGCCCCCCGCCCCTGCCTGGACTGGGCGGGGGGGTCCTCCAGCCAGCCGCCGCAGCGGCCCCGGGAGCCGGCGCCAGGGCCAAGATCAGGCCTGCAGCCCAGCCCTCGCCCCGCGTAGGGGTCCAGGCCGCGCAGCAGCTTGGCCAGGCACTGCCGCCTCTGGCGCTGCCCAGCCGTGCTGGCCGCCGTCGGCGGCAGGGGCCCTCGGCACGCCTCCTTCAGGCCCCTGGCCCGGTCAGGCCCCTCCAGCTTGGCGAAGGCAGCGCAGCGCCTGCAGGTGCACGGCCCTGCCACCTGCAGGTCGTGGCCCAGCTGCTTCTCCTGGAGGTCCTCGTCGCGCCGCTGAGCCCCAGCAGCCCGCCTCTGCGCCGCGGCAGCGCGGCCCCTGGCCCTCGGGCTCTCTCTCTCTCTCTCTCTCTCTCTCTCCCTCTCTCCCTCCCTCTCCCTCCCTCTCTCTCTTTCTTTCTCTGGCTTTGTTCATCCTTTCGACGTCATGGTTCTGCTGCAAGGTGGGCACCCAGAGGTCTGTACCCTTTATCAGGGACTCCTTACTCATACCAGAATGATTTGTGATAGTCCCGGGGCCCAGTGGGGGGCACTGGAGGGCGAAAGCGGCGAAAACCTAACCGTCGAATTTTTGTCACGACGCAAGGAGGACTGGGAAGGCGCTCTCCCTTCATTTTCGTTGTTGTTCTTTGTCTTTCTCGCTCTCTCTCTCTCTATTTCTTTCCCTCCCTCTCTCTCTGCCTATGTTCCCTCCTTCCCTCCCTCTGCCTCTTGAGACGTGATTTGTCAGTCTTCGTGCGAGGCTCGGGCGCGTGCCAGCATCCTCACCAGAGGACGGAGCATCCCGCTCTACAGTTTTACCGGGCTGCTCAAAAGGCGGCCGCCAATTTCTGGGAGCACGGGGCTGAGGTCAGCGCTGACGTCAGCATCGTCGATCTATCCCCCTTCCAGTGGTCCAGGGCTCCATAGCGCCACTAGCCTACCCCCTCGAGGTGGAGACAGATGCCGCGATATCCGACAGAGAGGGCATCTACCCCCATCGAAAGGAAAGGCCAGACTGGTGAATCCTGTCTAGCCGACCAGGGTTTGGGAGCCACGTGGAGCCGACCCGCCTCTCCGCCCTCCGCTGTCCCAACTCCCGAGGTGACGGGAGGGAGGAGTGGAGGGTGTTTTTTTTAGTAGTTGTTGTTGTTGTTGTTGTTGTTGTTGGATTTCTTTGGGGCGGGGTCTTCTGTTTCGAATGAGAGACTAGTGCGGGGTTCTGAAGGGATGATGAGGAGGATGAGATGGATGAGAGTCACGCGGAGGAGAGCTCTTTGATGCTCACTCCTCTCCTCCTCCTCCTCCTCCTCCTCCTCCTCCTCCCTTTGCTCCGACGCAGGCGACGACGACGGCGGGCGGCAACGGCGGGCAGCGACGGCGACGCCACGACGGCTGCGGCGTCGACGAGCGGCGACGGCGGCAACGACGGCGGGCGGGCGGCGGAACAGGGCCGCAGCGACGCGACGGCGGCGGGCTGCGGCGCCGACAAGGAGCGCGTCCGCCGCGCGGCCGCCGCGCAGCCGCCGCGCGTCCGCCGCGCCACAGCTGGGGGGCTCCAGCGGTCCGGCAGTAAGCTGCCCGCGCGCCAGGGCCGCCCCAGCGCGCGCCCGCCCGCGGCCGCCCCCCCTTCCGCCGGAGGGCCTCGGCGCGGTCGCCGCTGCCCGGAGTTCCCAGGGCGTCGAGGGCAGAAGTGCGGTGGCCATGGCCACGCTGTGGCGGGATCTTGTCGACGCCGATCTTGGCCACGGGCCATGCCAGCCTTCGCCCACTCGCGAGGATGATCCGCGAATGGATGGTGACCAAGGTGGACGGTGACCGTGATCTTCTTACACCGGCGCATCCGCGTTCAGTCTTGGTCATGGTCAACGTTTCCTTTTCTCCAAGGGGTGACGTTCGGCCTTAGATGAGAGGGAGGAGCAGCAGGAGGAGCAGAAGGAGGAGGAGGAGGAGGAGGAGGAGGAGCAGAGGAAGCTCAAGGTGTACCAACGATGCTGCAGTACATCCTCCCGTCCCCAGCGCCCTCCTCATCAGTCCCTGCAAGCATTCGTTTTCGCTGCGGTGAGCGCCCCCTTGACAGACAAGCGCTTCACGGGCTCGTAATCAGGGCGAGAGCTCCGTTTTGAAAGAACTAGTCGTCCGTCATTCGAGATATCAGGGACGCGACAAGGTGGGTTTTGATGTTGAAGAAAGTGCCAGCCCCGCTTTGAAAAGGCTTGAAGTTGTGATTGTGGTCGTGGTAGTCGGTGTTTTAAGGGTTGTGCTGAGTGTCTTAATAGTTGTGATCGTCGTGGCCAGTGTACAGAGTGTGCGATTGCGGTCGTTGTCTGAAGGATCAGTACGCTAGATCTCTATTTGAAAACGTGCCCACTTCCATGCTTTTGCACCGAATATGCACGGCGCAAAAGGGAAAACCGCGTTTTGCAAACGACCGGCCCTCCATCAGTGTAACCGTTGAGATTTCTTAGCGTCAGGATGGTATGTGATCAGTTGGACATTTGAAGCGAAACGCCCAGCGTGGCCTCCGGACATGTCTGGTGGTGTGACAGGGGGGGGGGTACTTGGGAGGGCGAGGGGTGGAGGAGAGGGGAAAAGAAAGTGGAGGAGGGCGAAAGGGGGCGGAGGAGGAGGAGGAGGGCAGGCAGAGGTGTGCGGAAGACGAAGAAGAATAAGAAACATACAAAGAAGATGATGATGATGATGATGCTCAGATGATGACGATGCCGATTCCGATGACGATGATGCTGATGATGACGATGATGACGATGATGACGATCTTGGTGGGTGATGATGATGATGATGATGATGATGATGATGCTGGTGATGATGATGATGATGATGATAATGATGATGATGATGATGATGCTGGTGATGATGATGATGATCATGATGATCATGATGATGATGATGATGATGATGATGATGATGATGATGATGATGATGATGATGATGATGATGATGATTTGTGGTCCGAGTGGTGTGAATACGCATGATCACCCGATGCCGTGGGCTCCGGCGTGGAGCCGCAACCGCGCGTTGCAGACGCAACGGCTGCCCAATCGTCCGACACACCCTGTTGCGTCTGCACCCCGCCGCGCGCGTATGACGGCCACCGACTGGAGAGTGACTCCATCCCAGTACGGGCCCGCGGAGCCATGGAAAGATGACCGTGCATGCGTCATTATCCAGGGAAGTAGGGGCACGCCGATGAAGCGCGCCTCTGTTCAGCACGCCTCCATGATGAAGCAGGCCTCCGCGAAGCACAGCTATCCCGTCAGCGCGCCTCCGTGATTCACGCCTCCTCGATGACGCACACCTCCGTGGAACAACTCGGTGAAGCGCGTTTCCTTGAAGCACGCTCCTTCAGGCGCGCTTTCGCGAAAAACGCCTCCGTGACGAGCACGTCGTTGAAGCACACCTCCCCGAGCAAGTTCACCTGCGTGATGAAGCACACCTCCGTATCTCACACTCGATGATGAAGCACGCCTTCGCGACGCACGCCTGGATACTGAAGCACACCTCCGCGTAACACGCCTCCGTGAAGCACGCCCTGGTGATGAATAGCGCCTCTATGATTGCGGAAGTCGATTAATGGAAAAGAAGCGTGCTGCCAAATAATTTCCAGATGCGTACAAATGTTTCAACCATGTTTTAGACACGTAAAACCATGTTTGAAACACTTCCAAAACAATGTTTTCCACATTTTAAGCACTCTAAATTCAATGGTCGGGTTGTCAGAGCGTCCATAGTCATGGCGCCCACAACTTTGTGATGTGCAGGAAGGAAGAACTTCTTATTGAAGTGCGCTTCAGTGGAGCACGCTTCCCCGATGAACCACGCCTCTGTGCTGAAGTACGCCTCCCTGAGTTAAGCAGGAATGAGGGCCCATTTCGCCGTCGAGAGCGCGGTCGCCGCTGCCTCCGATCGCAAAGACGGCTGCTGGTGTTGCTTCTGCTGCTGCTGCTCAAATAGGGCGCCAACATGGGCCCCGCGCCCTTGTGCGCGAAGTCGATTCCGGCCAGGCAGCTGGGACCCGAGGAACCGTGGACATGACGACCCTCCGGCGCCATGGCCCAGGAGAGGAGGAATGTGCCGATGAAGCCCGCTTCCGCGAAGCACGTCTCCATGATGACGTAAGCCTCCGTGACGCGGGCCTCCCCGATGACGCGCGCCCCCGGTTGCGGCCTGCCGTTGCGGCGCACAGCTACCCGCGAAGCGCGCCTCCGTCAAGTGCGCCTCGCCAGCGCCGCGCCTCTCCGTCATGCGCGCCGGTCCAAGGCGACGCGCGCTTCCGCGCAGCGCGCCTCCAGTGGGCGCACCACCGTGAAGAACGCATCCGTGACGCGCGCCTTGACGAAGCGCGCCTCCCCGATAAGGCTTGCCGCCGCAATTCAGCCTGACTTCGACGTGGAAGCGAGCCTCCGCGAAGCGCGCTCGGATGACGAAGTGCGCCTCCTCGAAGATCGCCGTCCGCGAAGCGCGCCTCAGCCGCCGGGCGCGGGGCCGCGATGCAAGGCCGTCTCCGTGCAACGTTCCACCGCGAAGCAGAACTCCGAGAATACTTCCGTGGACGCGCGACGAGGGCCCCCGCGAGCGGGGCATTCTAGCACTAGGATTGGCCCGAGCGCCGAACTAGAGACCTGCCCGAGCCTTTGGGGCAAAAGCCCCGCGCGCTGCGAGCACCCCCGCGGGGGCGCAGAACTGTGGGCCCCGCGAACAGCGCGCGAGGGTGGCGCGCCCAACCGCGAAGCAACCCCGCGACGCACTCGCGGCGGAGCGCGCCGCAGCGAGGCACGCCGCGACATGGCACTCTTATGATCAGGCGCTCAACTTCGCACTCCCCGATCAAACGCTGCTAGATTAAATTCGCGCGATGGGGCCCGCCCCGAAGAACCGCGACGATCGTGGCGACAGCGTATCGGATGGCGCTGGTGCCGAGTTGAGAGCGGGAGTCTGCGCGCCTGAAACCGCGTTGTGCATCGCGCGACGCTGAAGCGAGGGCGCCAGGCACTGGCGCTGCCAGTCCATCTGGTTGCAGGGCCGAGGAAGGCGCGCAGCGCCGCCGCGACGGGGGCGGTTCCTCCGCCCAGCGGCATGCCCCAGTGACCTTGCGGAAGGCGAGGATTATTGGCGTCAGCTGGATGGGCCGAGCCCGCGGACTGCCCGGCGACGGGCCGCCGGCGCGCGAGGGGCACCCGGGGCCCGAGAGGATGTAGAGGGGCGCGAACGCCTGCGCCGCTGTTGCGATCCGGCGCAGCAAGATGATGATGCGTGGTTGCAGCGGCGCGAACATGCAGGATCACCCGACGCCGCTGGCTCTGGCGGGCAGCCGCAACCGCGCGTTGCAGGCGCAGCTGCTGCTCGATGGCCCGACTCGCCGC